CCCCCAAAACCCCAAAACCCCAAAACCCCATTTAAAATTACAAAATCTAATTATTGCTGCTTAAATTTCCTTAATTTTGTTTCCTCAAATTCAAACTCTTTTGCTGTTTTTACTACAAAATTAGGAAGAAATATACCTTCAGAGAGGAAGAATAAATCATTTGTATTTTCAAGAATCTCTGCTCTAGCTTTGCTATAAATTATGAGGATTTTGGGCCTTCAATACTTACTCAATTTCGGAGTCTAGGAAAGAATCATAGTTTTTAAGCTCTTTTCTACGGTTTATTTTAACAGAGGGATCTCCATCTTTACTTTTCACTCCGATAAAGTCTATAATTAATGGAGGGTAGCTATACCGTCTGTTTCGTAGAGCATATCATCAATTCTGCCCATTTCTTCAAAAATCGATAATCTTTCTTGAAATTTGTTCATTCATGTTGAGTCAATTTGAAGATAAATGTCAAGATCCTCTTTAAAAAGATTGCTTTGAGAGGATTTTCTCAGAACAACATCTACTTCAACCTCATCAGAATTAAATTTTTGATCATCCAGTTGTTCTAAAAGTTATTGAACACAATTACGAATGATAATGTCTGTATTGAAGATTTTATGGAAAGTTGGCTGGTGCTTTGTTTCAGTAGAAAGTTCAGCACATCCCTCATCTAACACATTCTTTTCAACCTTTGAAAAATTGTGAGTCAAGATGTAATCAAGACACTCATCTTTATCAAATTTGCACTTTGGAAATATGCTTTTTACTAATTTTGTATTTTGCTTTAAAATCCAGTCAAGCATCTCAATTGTCTTAATTTTATCCAGTTTAAGCACTATTTCTTCAATCTATAATTTTACTACAGTATTTTACCGGGACTACGACTGTGGAAGATGATTTCACAACCACTCTATCTCCATCGAGGATCTATTAAGGTTCAGAATTATCCACCCAATTCCTCAAAGGCTTCCAAAAGGTTGATTTTGGGCAAAGATGAACATCTGAGAAGCATAAGAAACTTACTTTAGTCTTATTTCCTACTGAAAAGTCAGAAGGATCATCGATAATATCTAATTCACTATTTTTATTCTCAAAAAGGCTGATTGAATTCCCAGTATTATTTCCTGGCCTCTACTGAATAATCCTCAACTACAACAGGTTTGAATGGAAAGGGTAGAGTCTTAGAGAGGCTTTCTTTGTCAAGAGGCTGATCGAAATAGAATGTTACGTATTTATACCCTGATGTATCCTCTTCCTTTACACTGTAAAGAAGCTCATCATTTTCAACATCAAACATTGACATGTTTTCGTACTGTACGCCAGAGTTATTTAAAGGCTTTTGGGTAGGATTGATTATAAATGATTGCTTAGGAGTAAAAATTCTTTGAGGCCATGGATTGTTGATACATTTATGGCTAATATGTTTTAAACCGAGATTGTACAACATAAAGATCAATTCTCTCCAATCTTTATCTGGGTCTATTGTTTCTTTCAATTCCTGTGGAGTTTTACGCTTGATCTTGAAAGCATAAGCATGTGGACAATTAAAACTTTCTCTGAACTGCTCATCAATAGCAAGTTTATCTCCAGTAAGGTCTGTGCACATCATTGTAATAATTTCTCCAAGAGAAAAGAAGTCTGCCCAAACTTGATAATTTTTGAGGGTAATTTTGTCATCTTTCACCAAAAATGATTCTCTAACATTCATGCTGTTAAAGTCTTTCCCATCAAAAGTAAACGGGAGATCAATTTTGTAGCTCAATTTTAGATCTAAACATTAACAAGCTAGTCCAATTAATAATAAATTTGTATGTATCCAGGACATTTTCAAATATTTTTTTGATTTTATGATAAAGCCACGGTACTAATTCAAGAAGAAATGATGCTAATTACTTACATTTTATAAAGATTTCGTATTTCATGAAATAGAAACCACTAAATATTGGATCCCATATTTGAGGCCCGATGTAGATACTATCTAAATCATATCTTTGGATATCTTTTTCAGTGAAATTAGGATTTGGCAAGAACCCTGGGGCAGGAATTGCATTTCCAAATTTACTATCTCTACAGACATTAGCATATATCTAACCTTTGAGAGTCACTGCTACTGAAAACTTCTTTTGTCATGAAATCCTTTGTACCTGAGCTAGCTGAAATTTGATGAGAACCATGTGGAATAAATCTAGATTTGCCTATATTTTGTATTATTCTTTATACTAGAAAATCTTAAATTACCTCTGATGTTATCTTTTTCATTATTCTTCACTTTGTTGAATAGCTGCATTCCGATCCCACTACCTTTTGTAGAGAACCTACTTATTTTCTCTATGTTATTTTTGAGCTTCAAGCTGTTTTGAGCTATCTTCATCTTCAGGAGCAGCTCCATCCATCGCAAGTTTTGCTAACTTCTCGGTAATTATTATGACCTTGGAGATTTTATGCAGCAATTGTAACAAAAGGAAATCTTTCTTTGAATCTACAGTGTTCATGTAGAAAATTCATTGAGCAAATTCAGAGATGTAATGATTCAGAAAATCATTAACTGCTTCCTAGAAATAAGTAGCCAGATTACCTTATCATCAGTGTCATCTATTTCTAACTTTGCTATATCGATAAGAGTTTTATCTTCAAATTCTTCCTCTAGTTCTTTTGTGGCAAACTGCTGCTTTTGGAGAGGAGTTATTTTTATTCTACCAGAGCCATTAGCAGTCTTATCCCCTAGTAAAGTATTCTTCTTCATCTCATTAGCAGACTTGAGAGTGCCAGTTTTAAAGAAGGATTTCTTCTTTGAGATATGCTTTGTGTTAGCGAACAAGAAAGAATCAGCATTGCTTAAAGCTGATGAGTTTGTATCAATCTTATTGATGGCTTTCTCAGCTTTGGCTTCATTTTCCTATAACTCAGAATAAGTCTACATACATCTTTGATTTTCTGGTTTTCTATTTCTTTGTTGATCTTATCTCTCAACGCAAGAGTCTTGGCAAGATCATTGAGTGTGCCTGAAATAAGTGCTAAACTTACCTCTAAGTTTCTCAACTAGCTTATTCGCAGCTAATTTTTTGTTCACATATTGGTCCTCTTGTAACTTGTAATATAGATCATTCAGGAACTTTCTTTGAGTAGCCAAATTGAGCCTGAGTTCATTTGAATGTAATTTCTTTAACATTTTTGTATAATTTATACTTATTTTCAAATATTTAATGTTTAATGGGGTTTTGGGGTTTTGGGGTTTTGGGGTTTTGGGGTTTTGGGG